AGGTGTAACCCCCCTCTACTCACTCTGATTGTGCGGCTGACATCTTCCCTCTCCTCTTAAAAAGTAGTTCAACAGACTCTTCTTCTCTCGCTGACTCTCGAGAGTGACGATGTTTAATCATGAAGGTGACTTATCGCTCACAACAGTACTCAAGAAAGTGGTATAAAAGTGTGATTTGCATAAAAACGTGTCATGAAATAACTAACTGCAGCTCAGGAAATAATTCATGCAGAACAAAAAAAAAGTCAACATAACTGCAAAGAGCCGATTAAGCTGGCTGTGTCCTGGGAGGGGGGGGGGGGGGGTGGACACGGACCACCTGAAGCCCTCCTGAAGAGATAACCTCCGTCTCTCTCAGACTAATGCGAGGCTATCTGCTTAACTGCTCAGGTCAGAGGTCATGGGCCGGCTATGGCAGGTAAAAATATCAGAAAAAGCTGGATGATCCATGACGATCCTTCACTGTGGGTGGAGCGTCACATGAGGGATGTGTCACCATCCAACAGAGCATGATGGGAGGGGGCTGCGTTGTCAAACCCCGCTGTCTTCTCACATGAGCGCTCGAGGACGCGTATGCAATGTGACACACACACACACATACATACATAAGGAAAGCAATCACAAGTACTGATGTAACACCATGCATGCACAGGGTGAGGAGGAGTAGCTCCCCCTGCACGCTGTTCAGACTGAGACTCTACCAAAACATGCTTCCTGCACAGAGAGCAGGTGTCACAACAAACCTCGCATCAAGACTTGATTCCCAAAATTCCCAACTTAAAGGAACCAGCATGTCCTCAATGTGGACTCAACTATGTGTCCTGTCAACCCAGATTAAGCAAACATCTATTGAAAGCTGAAGACTGGGGCCGTGTTGCAGCTGAGGTCAAATCAGTGAGCCTGGTTCCCTTCAGCAGAAGTTCATCGGCCAACGTTCAGCAGCATCTATAATAAATAACATTGAGAGAAGGAAACAACAAGGCCAGAGGGAAAGGGGGGAACGCAGAATGCCGCTCAAATGTAGCATCACTTCCTCATTCACCTGCAGCTACTGTGAGTTTTTAGAAATACACTTTTTGATTCTGGAATAAAGGGATTTAAAAAATGAAGCTGAAGTGCTTGAAGTGTTGGAGGCTTCTCGATGATGTTTGTTTGCACTTTGAGTAAAAAAAAAAAACTTGGCTTACAGACACAGTCAACCCCTTAGCGCCAGTCTGTGCCTCTTCTTTATAACATTATGAAAAATAAACAGCAGTGATCTTTTGAACAAGCTGCTCAACATCTCCTGCAGCTGTTTGGAAGATGTTTCCAGATTCCTGAAAAGACTCGTGAACCTTTTGGATTAAAGAATATTTCATCTGTTTGCAGGAACAAAAATGTTTTATTTATAACCCATTCCTCAACTTTTCATTTCTGAATGCTCGTCAGCAGAAATCAAGCATATCCTGTGTAAATGTGTCTCTGAGTCCTGACTGTCTACAATGAGGGAGAAGCTCGAGTCCCGCTGGCTGTGTTGTTGTCAGAGCCGTGTTTACTCTCCCCCTTGTGTATAAAAGCTGTTTTAGTCAAGAACTAGAGAGAAGAAGAAGAACATACTCACTGATTATTTGGATTATCACGTTGGCATTTTGCATGCAATGTGAAGCTACGAGCTAACTAAAGAGCGCTAACACAACAATGCGTTGTGTGAAACGTGCCGCTCATTGAGCCTCTTCAATTAGCTTCCTGTTTTATCATTTGCTCAGGCCGACACAGGTAACAGTCTCCTGGGTTAGAGATGTACCGAGGTGATGAGCATTACATTAAATATGAGCATCAGATTTGATAACCAGCGAGGCTCAACGTGTGACTGACGGTCAAGGAGCCTCGTCCCTGCAGCAGCAGCAGCGAGATACCGTCTTTATAATTGAGTCTTTGAAGGTTTTTAAAAAATAGGACTTTTAAACGAGGTGTGTGATTATAAATTCATGAGCTGGAGATGCTTCAAGATAAACAACTTCCAGCAGAGCATTTATATTAAAATGCATTAATCCTCATTAACGCCTTAATCATAATAACATTTCAGAACACTGAACATTTATAAAGTTGCTGAAGCTTGGGGGGATAAATAAATGTAAAACAGTGGCAGTAATTAGGCTTAAATGTGTGTATGGAGCCGCTCTTGATTTCTCTAAAGTGCTTCTCGGCGCTCAGTGTTTTTGATGATTGCATCAACAAAAGCTCTTCTCAAGGTCGTCTGCAGAGGAACACAGAAGAAATGAAAGACAGCATGTTGCCTTGAAATGCTTTAACCCACGTGCTAGCTGCAGTTAATCAGCTATGTGCAGGTAGTTTCTTGTTAATCTGTTTCTATAACGGGCACCGTTGCAGGAGAAGGAGAAGCGCCGACACATTTCCGGACCGTCAGAAGAGTTCGATCAAGTCCAGGGCGGCTTCCTCCGCCTCTGTTACATCCCAACACACTCCTCTATTGTTCCTCCTGCGTTAACCTCCAACCATACTCTCCTCTCTCTGATGTTCCCTCTTCATTCTTATCCCCAACCAACCCCGGCCGTGTGCTCCGCCCTGCTGTGATTGCCCCGTATCAGCAGGGCAGCTCTCCTCCCACACGGCCGAGATTCACCTCATCTGAGCGTCCCTAATTACACACTCACTCGCTGCCTAATCTCACACCGCCTCACACACCCGGGAGAGAAGAGAAAAACCTGCTTCATGTTGGAAACCTTTAAAAGTTGTTTTTGCAGGATAACATCAAGATCTCTTCAGTCTCTGAAATAAAAAGAAATAGGTTTAAATTGAAGAGTGTGGCTGCACAGCGGGGATTCTTTGATGGAGCCTCGTCTATCATGCCGTTTATCCCTCCGCCTGGTGAACCCTCTCCTGAGTGTAAAACCACATTTCTCCCTTTTCTAATCGTCTTCAGAGATGACCCCGGACCAGTGCCATGATACGTTTTTCCAATGATATGCTGTGCTCGCTTTAAATCCTGAGTTTGGCATCGGTCCCAGCTGGTTCTACATCAACCACTCGTGGTGCATGACAATGCTTCACTTCCTGCCTCATTCACCTGCAGCTGCTGGGAGTTTTTAGGAATACAACTTTTTTACTCTGGAGTAAGATTACAGCTTGTGTTTTCTACCAATGTATCGCAGAGCTTTAAAGGCTTTATATGTGATTTTTTTGATCCAGCAGATGTCGCCCTTGAGCACCAGCATGAAACCAAAACAACTCGCTGCATTGTTGTGTTAGCATGCTAATGCTAGCGATCTTTATTATGCTGGTATCTTCACACTGCATGTAAATTTACCTGAAATGAGCGTGATCTAGAAACACAGTTAAGCAGTGAGTACAGTATGTTATTCTTCTTTTCTCTAGTCCCTCAATTAAACAACTTTTATACACGAGGGGAGGAGTCAGCCGGCCGTCCTGGCGATGTAAACAAACTGAAGATAGGATTCTGAAAACATCACAGACAGTGGGACTCGGGTGTTACACCCATTGTAGACAGTCATGACTCACAGAGTTATTTTAGAGGAGATACTTGATTTATATTATATTTAAGTGTGAAAAATCACATATTAAGCCTTTAAATGTCTAAATGATGTTTTTAGTAATAAAACGTTGCATACAGGCCGGTCGGCCCGTAGCGCCAGAGCTCGGAGGCACAGCTTTCCCTGAGACTGACGCTCTACCAAACATGCTTCCTGCACAGAGAGCAGGTGTCACAGCACACCTCACATCAAGATGGGCCAGTGGTCTGGTGGTTGGTGTGCACGGAGGTCGTGGTCCTCCAGGTGGGCGGGCCCGGACTTGAATCCAACCTGTGGCTCCTTTCCTGCATGTCATTCCCCTCTCTCTCCTCTCTCTCCACTCTCTATCTCTGAATATTTTGCATCAGAATTTGGCGACTCAGACGGAGCATCAAATTTCCCGCCGTAGAGGAACCAGCATGTCCTCAATGTGGACTCAACTATGTGTCCTGTCAACCCAGATTAAGCAAACATCTATTGAAAGCTGAAGACTGGGGCCGTGTTGCAGCTGAGGTCAAATCAGTGAGCCTGGTTCCCTTCAGCAGAAGTTCATCGGCCAACATTCAGCAGCATCTATAATAAATAACATTGAGAGAAGGAAACAACAAGGCCAGAGGGAAAGGGGGGAACGCAGAATGCCGCTCAAATGTAGCATCACTTCCTCATTCACCTGCAGCTACTGTGAGTTTTTAGAAATACACTTTTTGATTCTGGAATAAAGGGATTTAAAAAATGAAGCTGAAATGCTTTAAGTGTTGGAGGCTTCTCGATGATGTTTGTTTGCACTTTGAGTAAAAAAAAAAAACTTGGCTTACAGACACAGTCAACCCCTTAGCGCCAGTCTGTGCCTCTTCTTTATAACATTATGAAAAATAAACAGCAGTGATCTTTTGAACAAGCTGCTCAACATCTCCTGCAGCTGTTTGGAAGATGTTTCCAGATTCCTGAAAAGACTCTTCTTAAGCAGATAGCCTCACCTCGTTTTCACGTTGTGGAAGCACGCACAGCTCCACGCACACACACAGCGCTGCGCTCCCCCGCCGGCTCAGCTGATCCCGTCTCGCCTCTGTAACCACCTCCACAGATGATAAGGGGGGGTCACCTCGTCCCCTGATAACACTCAGCACTTTGAATCCATTTTCAAGATCTTTTTACTCATTTTTTTATCTGTTTATCTCCACACTGCTGCTGATGGTCCGCTGTCAGCCCTGACGGATGTGTCTCCACTAACGATGCACTGAAAAGGTTACAGCTGCACGCTGAGCGCTGCATTCCAAAAGGCCAAAGGTGAACTGTGAGTGTGCAGGCGTGATCATCGATAGCATTCAGGAGTTGTTTTTTAAACACAGCTGCTCCTATAAAAACGTGGAGGATTGTCTCCATGTGCTGCATCCTAAAGCTTCTCAAAGCTCTCTGTAATAATAATGATCACAAGGAGAAACAGAAAGCATGCAGAGAAATGTAACTCACCCTCTTTATTGTCTCATCTTTGGCATCTTTTCTCTCCCGTGCTTAATCCCAGACTCCTCGTCCTCCGTGCGTGCACATTGCTCCACCTTGAAAGTGAATAAAAAAAAACAAGAGTCCACAGTTGAGGATGCATCACAACATATCAAAAACTCTCCTGTGGCGCCCTGGTGGCTAATGTGCAGGTCCATGTGCCATGTGCTCATGCTGTGCTGTCCGCTCCTTGCCCTTTTCCCCTCACACTCACTCCAGCGTTGCAATTACAGCTGAAATGCTGGGGCTTGGTGGACAGCACAATTCTTTTACAATAGAAGGGATGCACACACACACAAACCCTCTCCTGCTTTTAACTACAGCAGCCCAAAGGAAAATGGGAAACTTTGATCTTTGTCGACCAGAGGGGACCGGATTAAAAGACATTAAAAATGGCTGTCTTCATAATCAGCTAAAGCCTGGTTTTGTTTGGTTGCTAAATCACAGCAGCGACATGTTGGGTTTTGATGCTAAACCTCAGTCTATTGGGGGATGCTTCCTCCCAGGCTCACGGCACAGAGAGCGTGAGGGGATATCCGCAGAATGCATAGCCAGCAGAGAAAAAGATAAGAGGAGAATAATCTTAAGCCTGTGTGAGCTTCTTTAAATCGAGCGTGTTAGTCCTTGAGGTGTTTCGCAGGAGGTGAAGCCAGCCTTTTGTCTCAGGGCAATGACTCACTCACTGTGCTTTACAATAAAGCAGATCACCAACACTCATGCTCCCATTTCTCAAAGCACTCTGCAGAGGGCCTGTCATGTTGTGGTGGATTTATTTCTCACATGAAAAGGGGCTTATGTAAGAAAACATCCAGCTCTGTGACACATCTTATATAATTATCCCCCTTTAATAACCAAATCAAAAGCAGCACCCTCCTCGCTCGTGTGCATTTAAACTCTGCAAAGGAGCTCTCTAGAAAAGCCTCCACTTCCTTGTTGTTGTGCCGCCGTGAAGGTGATGAAGAGGAGGTGGCAGGTAGTTCATGGCGGGGGCACGGAACAGATGGTGGTCTGTCCGGACGCTCGCCAGGTGGGGACGGTTGGTTTTGGACAGGTTGCATGCGTGCACACACACAAAAACACACGTTCCAACAGGTCAGAGGAAGGGCGCTGATGCTCCAGGGGGGCCGTCCTGTCCTCTCTTTGCATGACAAGGAGACCAAAAAAACAAAGTGTAGAGAAGTTCATGCAAAGTTAACAGAGTGCAGAATCTAAACTAAACTATCCATGAAGGTTGCTAACTACATTTTGGATGTTTTGACTATTTTCTAATTTAAAAAACGTTGTGGAGGTAGGGGCGCCGGATAGCCTTGTGGTTATGCTGCACGCCCTATGTACGGAGGTGGTAGTCCTTATCACAGCGGACGTGGGTTTGAATCTGCCCTCGGCTCTTTCCTGCATGTCATCCTCTACACTTCCTGTCTCTCTTGTACAAGTTGTAATCGTTTCTTCTTTCCCTCGATGTAAATGTTGACTTGAGCTTGTTAAGTTCTTTTCTAGTCTTTTGACTACTCAAAGTGCTTTTACACCGCAGCTACACACTCTGGAGCCGATCCCAGCTGTCATTGGGCGGGAGGCGGGGTTACACTCTGGACTGGCTGCCTGTCAATCACAGGGCTGACATATAGAAACAGACACACATTCACACCTACGGGCAATTTAGAGTCAGCAGTTAACCTAACGAGCATGTCTTTGGACTGTGGGAGGAACCCGGAGAGAACCCACACATGCACGGGGAGAACATGCAGACTCCTGTCAGACGGGGATTCAAACCTCCTCGCTGTGAGGAAACAGCCCTATCCACTGCATCTTGTCTTTTTTATACTTTTGATTTTACTTTTCCACAAGAGTTTGATAACTGCATGAGAGGGATCAACGCAATAACTGTGTTTATCTTTCTCTCTGTATCTCTACACATTTCATAGATCTAAGAAAGATTGCGGCCCCACAAATCCCATTATCAGTCGGGCCCCTAATTAAAAGAGGCGTTAAGATCCCAACATGAAGTTTGAAGCACACGTTCTACAGGGTGATGTAAGCAGGAAGTAATGTTAGAAACTAAAAAAAGTCAAAGCATGTCCAGTGCAGAGATGACGGAGCTCAGGCAGAACTTTTCATTTTGAAGGAATCCTCGAGTCGTTCAGGTTTCCTCGCTGCTGAGTTCTTGAATATTTTATCAATCTGTCGTAACTCTGGGTGCTTAATGAGAACTCTTCATTTAAAATAGACAACCCAATTTAAAAAATGTGCTTGAATATGTGCATGTTAAGTGCACCTCCATGGCGCCTGATAGTTTTACTTTAAGGAAGAATAGAAAACTTTCAGTGCAGCAGGTTTTGGTGACTAGAAGGTCAGAACGTTGAATCCCAACATCACAAAAAACCACTTAAGACTGCAGCTCGCGCGGTACGACCTGAAGGTCACCCGCCGGCTGACGAATATTTACAGAGCAAATTCTAATGTTAGACTACTCTGCAGCCTTCACACTTATGAATACTGATAGAATAAAAACATGTGTAGTTTCATAAAAAAAGTGGTTCCCAAACTCTATCCCCCCCCCTTTAATGGACATAGACACATGCTACGCTAACAGATTCCTGCACTGTTAGAATTGATCTCCAACATTGTCTGCAAAAAGTACAGACTCACACAAAACTGAAAACACTAGAACAGAATAGAATAGAACTGTATTTGTCCCTAAAGTGGAAAATTGTCTTTGGCTTCACAAGAACAAGACAGATAAAACATTATGACAAACAAGACAACATTCAAGCACAGCAGGAAACCAGGAGAGCGCCTGCAGTCGTCGACAACATCACAGTCAGCATGGTTCGTGAATTTAAAATAATAATTTAGTATAATAATAAATAAGCCAGACTTTTAAGACATTTCATAAAGTTCAATCTTTTGAAAAGGAAGAAATTAAAAGTGATAACGTAACATGAAACTTCCAGTTTGCTTTGTTTTTTAAAGATGGAGTCAGCAGAAATGTTGGTTCAAACGGGGCCCCTCCTCTCGGGCTCATTACCCCCCAGAAGTTCACCCTCCCTGCAGGACGTAGTGTGTACCTACACTGCAAGCTAACACATGCTAGCACAAGCTAACCGCCGGTGTTTGGCACCTTCCTGTCCAACAGGAAGTAGATCAACTCCACGTCCACGGGTAAAAGACAACACAAGGTTCACCCTCGTTTTAGAACGATCATTATCCACTTGGTGTTTCTCCTCACTCTCATTATATTTTCTCTTCTTTGCTGCTACGTCCACGTCTGTCATATTGCAACCAATCACTGAACTGTATCCACTCCTAAACTCACCTGCTGCGCTCTCATTGGCCGGAGGAAACACCACCAGCTCCGCCCAGAAATGACCCGAGTCAACCAGAACAAAGCAGAACAGTAAAATCCAGTCAGAGGACAGAGTCTCTGCAGACTCGAGCAGCTTTACTTTGAAAGAGTCTATTTATTTTTTCATTTCAGGTAAAAGCTCATCACTCTACCGTTCGGCGCTGCCGGCACCGTCTGTCATGACCTTTGGGGTCCTGCGCCCCACTTTGGGCAGTATAAATGGTCCTGAGCTTGTTCACTTCTTTTCGACTCAAAGCACTTTCACACCTACACATTCACACTCTGATGGTAGAGGCTGCAGAGTGAAGAAGAAACTAATCCATTCACACACCGCTGACGAAGCAGAGGGAGCACCTTGGGGACACATCAGCTGCAGAAGCTGGGGATTGAACCCTCGACCTTCCAGTTTAAAGACGACCGACTCTACCAACTGAGCCACAGCTGCCTCTAAGAGTGATCAAATCATAACAGCTGGTCACATCTCGTGTGTCTTCTCCTCTCTGTCACCTCTGAGGGGGGGAGAATTTCAATTTCACACTCTGCTGGGGTGGATAACACACATCACTTAAACACAGGTAGAGAGACAGAGAGAGAGATTGAAGGGAGGAGAGGGGGAGGCGAGGGGGAGTATCTGTTTTAAAAAAAAGGATCAACATGTGTATTCATGAATGAGTAAACAAGCGAGGGATGAGCTTAAATGAATACATGAGACACCCGGTCGGCGTGCTAATACAGCCCTTCAGAGTTTCAATGTCACTGATGTCAGAACGAGTCAGCAGCTGCAGGCTGAGCAGGACAAATGGATACTTACCGCTTCAATCAACCTGCCCTGTTATTATCTTTAACTTGTTTTCTTGAGTCTATAAAATCAGCTCAAGAAGAAAAAAGGACAAAAGATCAGATTTGACTAAAAGAAGTTATTTGAAGTGTCTATCATCCCCCAGTTAGCCTCCTGCAAGTCAACTGCAGGCAGCTCTCAGATTCACTGTATTCACTCTCCCTGCAGTCTGAATTATTCATGAGGGAACAAAAAAAACACCCCAAAGAAAGAAAAGGGGTTAGAAAAAGAGGTCTGTCAGACGGGGTGAGATGACTGCGACCTTCCATTGCTAAATAAGTGGAAGTCGGGGGGGGGGGGGAGTGTGATACGCAGAGAGAGAGAGATGGGTATAAGAAAGAGATAAAAAAATATGACAAGGGAACAGACGCAGCGACGGAGAGAAAAGAACGAGAGGGGGGGAAGGAGGGGGGAAGGGGGGCGTCTTGTAAGAAAAACCCTTCCATATGCTGGAGTGTGATACAGAAATATAGGGTCCCTCTGTATTCATGGATCTGTTGGAGTGCAATCAATGGAGTGAGCGATACATAAAAGAGGCGGAGTTTGACCTGCGCAGTGAAAAGGGAGGAGGGGGGGGGTGTTCTGCACAGCCGAGGAGGACCCCGAGGAGACTGGGGCGATTTTAGACTCTGTCAGGGCATGCTTTGAAGTTTTGGCAGATGAGGATGGGCCGTGGATCAGCCTGTGGGCCCTGCTGCATTAACCCCCGAAGACCCAGCTCTGCTTTCACTGAGTCAGCAGAATCGGCGGCGAGCGAGCGGGCTGCCTGCCCAAGCCAGCAGCAGCATGCATAATCTGTACACTGGGGTAGCAGCACAGTTCCCATTACAAGGAGTTATTATTCAAACTTTAAGCAGTGATTATCTCTGTGCTTT